CCGCCTCCCCCTGCTCCGCGGCGCGGTGCAGCCCGGCCACCATCTCGTTGTGCAGCAGCAGGAAGAGCGCCTCGTCCGCCATCTCCACCCGCGTCATTGCCGGCTCCCGCCCCCCGCGCCCCCCCCGCCCAACCACCGACCCCTTCTGCGGCGGGTCCTCCTGTCAGGCTCCGGGCGGGCCGCAACGCGCATGCGTGCCGGGGGGATGGGCGGGGTTACCTCCTGTCAGGCGCCGGGCTCCTGGCCCCTCCGGAGTCCGAGTGAGTTGGGACGCTGGGGTGCAGTGGGGTTGGGCATGGCACCTCACCTCCAGGGACATTGGGCAAAGTAAGTCACCTGGACTGACTCGCTGTTCCCAGTGATGGTGGCACGGAGGGCGAGCTCCAAAGGAAAAAAAAACAGGCCCCTCAGAGCTCAGGCAGCAAATCAGTCCAGACAGTGGCAGGGGGCACTATGGCCACCGGAGATAGCAATGAGCTTTCTCTGGAGCTCAGCCAGGCAGAGCAAGTGAGACTGTGGCACAACAAAGCTCTCCTTTCCCCTAGGGGGTCTCTCAGTGTCCTACACGGCACACGCCAGCCCCTGTGGCTTGAACCCTTACCCCGCTCTTCAGACTTTTCCACCCCCGCAGGCGTTAGCAGCAGCAGGCGCCGGGGCTGGGGATCCTGGTAACAGGGATGAGCCCCTAGAGAGGGTGTTTTGGGGCTGTTTGAGGCGTAGCACAGGGTTTAAAACAGGGTGGATAAAAATAAACGATTTTTTAATTTAAAAGTAGGATTTTTAACGTTTACATCAGATTTTTTTATTTAATCATATTATTTGATTTTTAAGATGCTTTAAAAAAATAAACCTATATATAGTTTTAATTGAAGATATGTTAAAGGTCAAAGATATCGTCATGGAATAGGGATTATAAATTCTAATTATCATCTACTATTTGAGACAATACATTCATGTAACCTTTGTAAAAGTTTATAAAGGGGTCACAACAGGCCATGGACCAAATCTTATGGGGTTCCCAGAGGCTCCTCTACAGATTAGTAAAGATTAAAGAAAACCACTCTACCCAGTGGGACTATGCTCAGTCTAGATGATCCCGCTAAGCATCTCTGATGCTTAGTTTCAGTTCTCAGACTAGATTTGTCTCCAGAGGTAGGCAGAGAAGGCTCTTTGGGTAAATGAGTATTTAGTATTAGTCTTTTACAGTATTAGACCAACTAAATCAGGGGTGGGCAAAATACGACCCACCAGCCGGATCTGGTCCAGGGGACCATTCTATCTGGCCCGCAAGGCCCCTAAAAAATTTGATGATGGGCCGCTTTCCCCCTGCCCACCGCCCCCCTGCTCAGCACCACCTTGTAACCTGGCCCTGCTGCCAGCCTGGGCACCGTGCCGGCTCCAGCCTTGTCCGTTGGGGCTGCACGTAGCGACAGCAGCTGCAGCCCCCCTGCTTGCTGCACCAGGCAGTGTTTGCCACTGTTGCCTGTGGGCTGCCCAGCGTGCGAGCTCTGGGCGGGCAGCAGCAACCAACACTGCCTGGCGCGGCAAGCAGGGGGGGCCAAAACTGCTGCCACCG